GACGACCCTTTTTAACAGATAGTATTTGTTCACAGCGCAGATTTACACAATAGCAACGCCGTCGTTTTATATTTTTATGAGCTTAAATAATTGATTTATAATTGCATTAAAAAATTTATAAATAAATATATTAGGACTTTGATATCTTATTAATTTAAAAATTATTAATGGACCAAGTTTAAATAAAATAAATTATCAAATATTTATTAGTTTATAAAGAAATTGTTTTAGAGTTTATTATAATATTGTATACATTTTTCTTCTAATTTTTGAAGTTCAAAATATCAAATAATTGTTATTTTTATATTAGTATAATTGTTTGTATAATAATAACTTATGATATTAATTAGAAATAAGATAACACTCTTAAATAAAAACATAAATATTTTTAATGATTTTTAAAAACTACCATAAAATTGATATTTAAAAATTATTTTTGGATATTAAGTATATATTTTTATTAATATATATTATCTAATACTTCATATTTTTCATATTATTTTGGTATTATGATTAATAATCTATTAAATTTATGCATTAACTGTATTTTATATAATTTGTATCATTAAGTTTAAAAATGACATGTATAAACTAAAATCATGAGGTGGCATTCATATGGAGAGAGTTGGCCATCTTTTATAGTATAGACTAACTGGTGATCCGCGCTACGCGCAGTTATGTGATTCATTTTTATACAATTTTTGTATTAATGTTTTTTGAATCGTATATTCTTGAAAATTTTAAGATGAATTTCAATTTCTCACATGTACCTCTCTCGAATTTTTCATCCTTTTAAAATTTCTAGTTTGTGATCCGTGCAACACGGGAATTTGATTATCATTTTATGTATTTTTATAACATATAGTTTTGGACATCTTGTGATTGTTTATTTTTTTCAGTGTACCCATCTTGAATTTCTTGTTTTATCTCAATTTTGATTAAATATTATCCATTTAAGATTATTTGGTTTATGCAAACAGATAAGAAAAGAGAACATATATGATATTAGATATCCAAATTATCCAATTTAGAATTAATTCTTTTTCAAATTATATAGTTTTAAAAATTTCTTTGACTTTCTGGAATTTTCCAAAAATATGTTTTTGAAGTTGACTTTTCATGCAAATTATTGAAAATTTATGAATAGATTTTAGATAATGCAATTTTTGAACTTGTCTCGTTACCCAAATTTCATGTTCTATTTTTATTAGATTTCCTTTGGAAATTATTTTTCGTCTTTCTAATTACTAATTCCCATCAAAGACTCTTAAATTTCCGCTTTTAATCTTCAAATACTAAAAGCTAATGCATATCATTATTATTATTATTTTATTTTGTATTTTGCTTATTTTTTATTTTCTAACAACACATTATAATTTCATGATGTATGTTTGCTATTTTTTTATAATGAATGTTAATGTTAACTGTTTATTATTTTCCGTCTTTCTAATTATAAATACTCGTCACACTCGTAAATTTCTGTCTTGAGCAAGAGCTAATGTATATCATTATTTATTATTTTTTTAAATTTTTTTTATATTGTATTTTATTTATTTTTTTATTTTCTGATAACACATTATGATTTTTTCCTATTTTTTTATATTGAATGTTCATATTAATTTGTATTATTTTTTATCTTTCTAATTACTAATTTATGTTACATATTGGTAAATTTCTGTCTTAAATTTTAAAATACTCAGAGCTAATGTATATCATTATTTCTTTTATAGTATTTTTTGATCTTTTATGTTCTGACAACATATTATAATTTGTTATTTTTTATATTGAATGTTAATATTATTTTTTTATTTTTTATGTCTTTTTAATTACCAATTTCCGTCATACACTCATAAATTTCCGTCTTGAATCATGAAATACTCAGAGTTAATGTATATCATTATTTTTTTGTTTTGCTACTTTGTATTTTGTTGATTTTTATTTTCTGACAACACATTGTAATTGTCTTTTTATGTTTGTTATTTTTTATGTTGAATGTTAATGTTAATTTTTTTAATTGTTTTCCATCTTTCTAATTATCAATTCTCATCGCACACTCGTAAATTTCTAACTTGAATCTTGAAATATTCAAAGCTAATCTATAAAATTATTTTTTGGTTTTTTTTTGATAACATATTATAATTATCTTTTTATTTTTGTATTTTTATATTGAATGTTAATATTATTTTGTGTTTTCAAAATATTTAAATGAAAAACAATTAACGATGTAGTTGCTGAGGTGGCAGCACCAGAAGAGAGAAAAGCTTACTTTATATATATAGAATTTTTTTATATTGAATGTTAATGTTAACTTTTTATTATTTTCCGTCTTTCTAATTACTGATTCCCATCACACATTCGTAAATTTATGTCTTGAATCATGAAATATTCAAAACTAATGTATATAATTAGTTTTTGGTTTTATTTTTTTATTTTCTGACAACATATTATAATTATCTTTTTATTTTTTCTATATTTATATTGAATATTATTATTATTTTGTGTTTTAAAAGAATTTAAATGAAAAACAGTTAATGATGTAGTTGCTGAGGTGGCAGCACCAGAAGAGAGAAAAACTTACTTTATATATACTAGATGAGTACATGCGCGATGCACGGATTTATTTTTTTTCACAATATAATTTATTAAAAAGTGTAGTTACAATTTATTTTATCGTATATTTAAATTTTTCTTAAGGATGTTGTGTATTTGAATAAACATATAATATGTATTTACATATTATGTTGGATGTTAACTATATATGTGATCAATGGTTTATTGATAAGAAAATGTGAAATATTTTATACCTTGTATATATAGAATATATTAAATAGATATAACAAAAATTAATTAGAGAAACTCTTCAAGCACAACATAGATAGAGACGGCTCTTTTTAACAGGTCGTACTTATTCACGGCGTAGATTTACACAATATCAATGCCCTGGTTTTATATTTTTATGAGCTTAAATAATTGATTTATAATTCTAATTTATACAGCTGCATTAAATATTTTATAAATATATATATAGGACTTTGATATCTTATTAATTTTAAAATTTTAATGGATCAAGTTTGAATAAAATAAATTATCAAATAATTATTAGTTTATAAAGAAATTGTTTTAAAGTTTATTATAATATTGTATAAATTTTTCTTCTAACTTTTTAAGGTTCAAAATATCAAGTAATTGTTATTTTTATATTTGTATAATTGTTTCTATAATAATATCTTATAATATTAATTAAAAATAAGAAAACACTCTTAAATATAAAACATAAATTTTGTTAATGATTTTTAAAAACTACCACAAAATAGATATTTAATAATTAATTTTGGATATTATGTATATATTGTTATTAAAATATATTATGTAATTCTTCATATTTTTTATATTCTTTTAGTATTATGATTAATAATACATTAAATGTATGCATTAACTGTATTTTACATAATTTGTATCATTAAATTTTAAAAAATGATAAACCAAAATGATGAGGTAGCATTCATATGGAGAGAGTTGGCCATCTTTTATAGTATAGATAGATTAATCTATTTCAAAACCGTATACAATTTAGTTTTATTTGGTTCAATTTGTTTGGTTTTTGGTTTATCATCAGTTTTATAAGGCATATTAAATTTTGTTTGGTATTTAGGTTCTATTTTTTTATTTTCTGTGAATTATTTAGTAAAAGTACATTAACATATACTCTTCAATTGATTTCTATTGAATCTTATAGTGTAAAATAATTTATATGTTTACTTTGGTTGGAATTATAAAAGTTATCATGATATATCTTGAATTTCAATCACATCTGTGATATTTAAATGAACCATTAATGATATGATTTTAAACAACAATTTTCTTTTTGTCGACGGTCTCAATAACAATAATTTTGTAAACGAAGGACAAGGGTTGCTAAAGAGGAAAACAATTATAACAATTGCATAATATTCAGATAAACGTAAATAAATAATATAATAGAGTTATATCTAAAAGTAATATGAATTATATGTTACTTTGCAGTATGCAAATTGACTAAAATAAGAGTTTATATTATTAGGTAAGAATGCAATAAAATTAGATACGTATGAGGCTATAGAACATTGTTCGACAAGAATGATTGGAAAAATGATTTACCAAACAAAATTTTTTATTCATAAAATTTAAGATACTGTAGTTATAAAGTGAAAATCATATCAGAACAACTATTTTTGGATTGGAACTTGAAATAATCATTTTAAGTTTAACCAAAACCGAATGGAATCACTTAATTACGATTCGGCTAGGTTCCGTTTTTTCAGTTGTGGGATTTGGGCTCCCCCCTACCAACATTGAAGCCTCTTGTGACCTCTTCTGACTCACCCAGGGGCTGTGCCTGTACTCAAAACAACAAATTTAAAAAGAAAATGTACTAAATACTATAGTGTCTGTGTTTCTATTTAATTATTTAAGAAAATCACCAGTCCAATTTATCACAAAATTACACTCACCTAGTTACGACTTCGTTCGGCAAGATTATTTGGGTTACGGTGTTTTTATCCACCCCTACCACCATTGAAGCATTTTGTGTGATGTTGTCTCTGTACTCCAAACACCAAATTTAAAATAAAAAATGATCGTGAATACAAGTCCCATTTACCACAAAACTAGAAAAGTACCATCTAGTATTTTATGCAAAATTTTGCCATGAGAATTAATTTTTATGTAGTTTCATTAGTATAACTATTAACTTTTTTTTTATTTTTTTGCTAAGTTATGATTATTTTTGTTTTTTTTACTTTGAACAAAAAAACTGAATTAGGATTGTTGTGATGAATTGCTTCGCCCCATTTGAACTAAATTAACACGTTTCAAAATTAATTCGACTTAACCATGATTTAAGCATTAAAAACTAGTTATGCATGATTTTGGCTCGCAAACTAGGTGACTCGGTATATAAACATAGTCCACCTACTTGGTATAACATTTAAGCTAAAAAAACCTAGAAAATGACATAACCTATTTAAGGACAAAGTTGGCCAGCTGCACAAAGATTTTCATCCCACCATAACCAATTCCAATCAACTAATCGAATTAAAGGAAGAAAAGATAATGGTAAAAGATGAAATTATTGACCTTAGTTTGACGATTCCATACTTCCCAATCTGTTCCCTTACAAATTTGTTGTATATGAAAGCTGCCCCTCTGAATTGCGGCAACACCAACCACGCTACAAACACTAGCTTCACCGTGTACCATATCGGTATCCTATATATATTTTCAACATTTTTCCACTTTTCTATTAATATTATTATCATATGATAACAAAAACATAATAAACAAAAACACATAGATATTATTGTTACCGCTCTATAAGAGATTGAAAGATGAGTTCCGAGAGGGTAAGGAAAGAGTAGAGAATCCAATAAAAAAGCCATTGCTCGTCGTCTACTTTTGATGGGGTCTCTATTGCTATCACCGACGCATAACTTAACAATATCATATAAATAAATAAATAAACTAAATCAAATCTTTAAAATAAAATGAATCTAAATGTAAAAAGAAACAATAGGAAATGACTTACAGCGGGTAAAGCAGCATTAGCACGGGCCTGCATATACAATTGTAAACAGAAAACAATCCTTGAAATTAGTTTTATCACAAAAAAGAACAATCAAACCATAAATTGAAGGAAACTAGATATTACATAGAGAAAATAATACGAAAAAACGAATAAATACCCAGCGATGGAATGAACAGCAGAGACGGAAGTCGATAATTTAGTCATTTTAAGAGGAACACGGCAAATTCAAACCAATGAAAGGAAAAAGTGTAGAGAAGTTTGGAACCCTTTTGCTTTATGAAACAACACGACCAAAGATGAAGGAAGATTAACAAAGATCTTCTTATACGTATCAACTGTCTTAGATATTTAAAAACGGTTTAGCACAATTTGGTTCAATCCGTGGTTTGAATCGGGAAAAAATAAGAACTGTATGTATCATTTATATAAAAATCTATTACAATATAAGCCAAATACAATATATAAAAAATATATAAAATCTTAGTGTCTTTAAATCAAATTTATCTATTAAGACCATAAAATATATAAAATAAAAATCTGTCATAATTAATTGAAAAGCAAAATGAAAAATATAATTTTTTGTGCGTAAGATTTAAGCTGATTCCTTACCATTATTTTATTAGTTTAATATATATATATCTTATAAAATTTAAGAATATTTAAATATATCATTTTTTAATAAAATATGTTCCATAAATATTTCAAAAATGTTTTATCAATATTTCATTTATGGTAAGAAATCTAATGTATTATAAAAAAAATTATTATTACCTTTATTTATACATTTTGTTTTTAATACCAAAATTAAATTTAAAACTAGATAATATAAGTTTTTATTTGAAGCAGATTTAGTTCTTGTTTGAGAGCAAATTACAGATCGTTTATAGAGGTGGGTTCGTCTACGTTAATGAGATGGGGCTCTCGGATTCGTTTTGTGGGGAATGAGCGGTATGCGGTCCTTGAGTGAGAAACTGTTTGAATCCTGCAAACATTCACAACGAATAAGCTGGATCTTCGAAAAATCAGAAAGGGGCTTATCTCCCGAAGGTTCTCTGACTCTCAAGTTAGATTACATCCAACTAGGAACGAATAATCAGGAGGGTGGATAGGTTATGATTGCTTTATGGTTTAGGTACCCCGTCTGAGGATCGTGATACCCATCTACTATTTGGTAAATGAGAGAACGTAAGGTACTTGGATCATTGAGAGAGTGGGGTTGGACCTCTCTCTCAATGGGGAATAAAAGAAAGAGTTAGGAAAGAAGATAATGCTTATCTCGTTTGGCGTTCCCTCCGGAGAGCGTTGAAGGCTTCCCCTTCAGTCCTGCTGCTAAGTCCAGCTGGTCGGTGGAGTTCTGGCGAGGCTTATTGTGTTTAGATCGTCCTTCATCTCTGGTTTTGTGCTTTTCCCCTCTTTCCTCTAGATCCGGCCTCCTTCCATCTTGATCTGGATCCAGTCTGATCTCCCTTTCTCTTTTGGCCTCCCCCTCTTTTTTTATATGTTTTCTCTTCTGACACATTTCATCCGAGAGGGGCTCAGAGGGAGTAGGTGCGCTACTGCAGTATGCTTATATGTTGAAAAACTAGCTAACTGCTTAGAAACAGTTGGCTAGGGAAGCATTGGGCAGGCGTAGATGCCAAACTTATCATTTTGGTCGAGTCTACTACTAACGTATCACTCATCGACAAGACACAGAAAAAGTAGACTTAACAGTTCTTCTATGTAGTCATAGTAAAATGTATATTATTTGTTTCTGGAATTTAAGATGGTGTTATATCAGATGTCTTAAATTGGTCTTTACATTGAATCAATTGATGATCAGTGTTAGATATGAGATTCGTACCGTCTCTAACAAGTCCGCTATGAACTCTGGTCGGCCCGTTTAACAAGTTTCAGGTCGACGATATAAAAGGAAATCTTCCATTTATCGAGCAACCCGGAAAAAAAGGAAATTCTTTCTTATCGGCAAGGAGAGTTTCCTATTCTAAACAGGTTAAAGACCGACCTGATCAAGCTATAAATACATGAAGTCCTCGACTCCTCAAATCCATCCGAAAATCATTGATCAAGACCTAGAGCAAACTAAGCAATCAGATTGTTCTAGCTTTTGATTTACTTTCCCAGAGTTTAGGTCGGCGTTCTTATTCCGACGACCTAAACATCGTTGTATTCTATCAAGCTCCGGCTTCTTCTAATAAAAGATCTCTCCTTAAATCCTCAAACCCTAGTTCTTCTATAAGTCGAACTTGAGTTTTTATAGTTGGCGCCGTCTGTGGGGAATAAGAGAGCAATCTTTGACTTAGAACGGAGTTTGAAGATGGTTGAAACACCGATCAACACTACCGACCTCACAGGAGGAGCCTCCGATCCGACAAGAAACACTCAGGATCCGATCATCGACCCAGCCACCGGGCTACCAGTGATCCACCAGACCGATCAGGAAGACAACACAACCACCGTGCAGAACATCGGTGGGACAGATCAGGTCGGCCAGACGGGTGGCACAAACACGACCGGCCTGCCACAGCCACCTCCCATCGACATGGCCACCATCATCAGGTCAGTCGCAGCACAGTTGCAACAGGGGATGGATGCTCGCTTCGAATCCCTTCGTGCCGAGCAGATCGCTTACAGAGAAGATCTAAATCGGCTTCTCAACTCTAGGGTTCATACCCAAGAGCAGGCCGATCTAATCACTCCCCCTCGCCCTCCGATCCGCAACACAGATACGACCAGGCTAGTCAACAACTTATTCGGCACAACACCGACAGACGATCTGCGAAGAGCACAGGCAGAAGGCTCGAACGCTCGTTCATCGCGCAATACTGCAGGTACCGACCTGACGACAGCCTCAGAGCTTGATCTTCTCCACCAACGCCTTGACGATATTCATAGCAAGATCCACAAGGCAACGACCTCAGCACCAGAATTGGATAAGATCCTTCAGGAGACGCAGCAGACCCCGTTCACGTCGGTCATCACCAATGCTCCTCTCAAGGACATAGGCCGGATGAAGCTACCTCTGAGTTACACCGGCACGACAGACCCGAAGCGACATCTGACCGCGTTCAATGCAGTCATGGGACGCGCTCGCTTCACCGACGAGGAACGGGAAGCATGCCTCTGTCAGTACTTTGTGGAGACGCTCTCCGGAAGCGCCCTCACATGGTTCTCACAGCTGCCCAAAAATTCCATCGATAGCTACAAGGAGCTCACAGCTCGGTTCCTTAAGCATTATTCGATCTATATCGACACAGAATCCACGGCGCTCGATCTATAGGCGTGTGTTCAGGGGGAAACGGAGCCATTGCGCGACTTCATCGATCGATTCCGAAAGATCGTCTCCCGGTGCAGTCTGTCGGACGAACTATCCCTCAACATCCTTATCAAGAATTTAAGGGAAGACTCGTCGTACTGCGAGCGCTGGAAGACAGGGAAGACCAAGACTCTGGAGGATGCTTTGCACAAAGCAACCGGCTATATCATGGTCGAGGAAGATCGGGCAGCTAAGGCCAAGGCCATGCTGGCCGACGAGAAATCCTCGCGAGACAAGAAAGCCAGATCGTCGAGTCAGGACGATCACAAGGAGCCCCGTCAGCACTACGACAAGGACGACAGGAATCGCAAAAGTATCAACTCTGTTGGACGACCAAAAAAGCCATGGAACGTGTGGGACCGCTCGAGCGACAGAGACCCCGACAGCAAGAAGTCATGGTGCAAATACCATAGAACACACGGTCATCATACCGATGATTGCCGCACCCTCCCAGCCCTCTTGAAGAAGGTGTGGGATGATGGTGAGATCACCCTACCAGAACCCCGGAGTTCACGACGATCCGACGATGAGGACAGGCGACCCGATGACGATCGAGATAGAAGAGCCAACGACGATCGTGATAGGAGAGATAACACCGATCGCCCATCTTCTAAACGCGAGGGCAAGGAAGCAAAGCGTGACCGTGAAGACGATCACACACCTCCGAGCTCACCACGTCGGAGGATCAACATGATCATGGGAGGGCTCCTCTCGTGCATCAACTCGATCAATTCGATTAAACGGCACGAACGGAAAGCAGCCAACCCCCCGAAGGACGCCCCACCGCTGTTCAAGGATGACCTACCGATTACATTCACAGAGCAAGACGCGCAAGATATCGACCGACCACATAACGATCTGCTCATCATCTCACTACGGCTCGGAGAAGACGACGTCTCCAGAGTATTGATCGATACTGGAAGTTCGGTTGACCTCATCTTCATGGATACTCTACGCAAGATGAGTATTCCCGAGCGGGATATCAAAGTCGCACCATCACCCCTCACTGGATTCGCTGGAGACTCGATCTCGACGATAGAAACTATAACGATGCCTGTCATCATACGCGGGAAGTCAATTGCGGTCAAGTTCGAGGTTATCGACCGACCTGCGATCTACAATGCCATCCTTGGAACACCATGGCTGAACGCCATGCGGGCCGTCCCTTCTCCTTACCACCAATGCATCAAAATGCCAATCCGGGGCCGTGTCATCACCATTCGAGGCGATCAGACAGTGTCCCGACATTGTTACATCGAGAACAAGCGCGCCTGAAAAGCATCGACGTTCGTGATCGGCAGTAGCAGCGACTTTGATCCACGAATTGTTCATCACGACAAGCAGCTGAAGAGCGATCTTATCGCCCAAGTCAACATCGATGCTGCCCACCCGGAACGTTGCGTCGGTATCGGCACAGAACTGTTGCCTAGCATGCAGGACGAGCTGATCAGTTTCCTCTGAGAGAACCTCGCAACGTTTGCGTGGTCCATGGCCGACATGAAGGGCATTAACCCTCGAATAACGAGTCACGAGTTGAACGTCGACCCGACTTTCAAATCGATCAAGCAGAAGCGACGGAAGTTAGGATCTGAGCGAGCACAAGCTGTACACGATGAAGTAGATAAGCTCCTGAAGGCCGGTTCAATCGCCGAAGTAAAGTATCCGGATTGGTTCGCCAACCCGGTGGTCGTCAAGAAGAAAAACAGCAAGTGGCGAGTCTGCGTGGATTTCACCGATCTCAACAAAGCTTGCTTGAAGGACAGTTTCCCTCTTCCTCGTATCGATCAGCTCGTCGAGGCTACGGCGGGCAACGAGCTACTCTCCTTTATGGATGTATTCTCAGGATATAATCAGATTCTCATGAATCCGGATGACAGCAAGAAGACCG